CTCTCTCTCTCTCTCTCCCTCTCTCACACACACACACACACACACACACACACGAACGCACACATTCACTCACCTCTACTTAATCCATTTAGTGTTGCTCATGTACAATGTGTTTAGGGCTGAGCACTTGGGATTGAATAACCTATCTGGGATGGGTGGGTTCCTGGAGAAGACCTACTCTCCTTCTCCTTGTCTTAGCAGTCATCAATTCCCTGTAGCTCTTCATCTAAGGGTGGGACCTTGTGATATTCCCCCACCCACATAAGTAAGTCAACTGTTGTTGGCATTATGCAGGTATTATTGAGGTCATCCATATTGTTGAGATTTCAGAAGCGAAGCTTCCCTGCCATGTTTAGAAGATATTGTCTTATAGCAGATGTCCTGGCAATACACTTCTTTTTAAGCTTGCTATCTACTTTCCACTATTTATCTCTGGCAGTTAGAACTACTTGTCAGTCCCACTTATATTGTTCCGAGTTGGCCCAGTACTTTGCCACCCTCTTCCCTAGGAATATAACACTATTTCTACCTGGGAAGAGTATTCATATTTTGTTTGAGGCCTTTCTGAATCTCTCAAATCCTGTCAGAAATGCCAACTCTCCTAGGAAGCTTCCTTAAATCTTCCTCCTTTCTCCCATCCAGATTAGGGGATATTTTCTGTATTCTCTTACTAAACTCCAATTAATTTATTGTTTTTTCTTAATTATATGTTTTTCTGTCCCTATCAATAGACCATAAGCTTGTTTTGTATGTGTGCAACTGGGCAAGTTGGTTGTTTTTAGCAGAATGACCCTGGGCAAAATTACTCTTTGTATTAACAACACAAAAGCTAACAAACCATGGGTAAGAATAAATTGTTTATATACATATATGTATGCAACAACAATTAGATGAAAGAGAGTTAATGAATTTGAAGGGGAGTGTTGAGGGGTATGTGAGAGGGTTTTGAGGGAAGAAAGGGAAAGGAGAAATGTATATTATAATTTTAAAAATAACAATTAAGAAAGAATAATGTGGGGTGGGTGTATAGATGCATAAATGAATGAATAAGTGGGTGAAGGAAAGAATAATATAGCCATTTTCATGTTTTACATGAAATCAGATAATCATAAACTATGATGTATTATCCACACATATCCACATATATTCTTCATATATTGGATGCTTATGAGAGGGATGTAACAAGTTTTAAATTTTCTTAGCACACCTGGAATTCCAGAATGTTCTTCCTTAGTAAGCAGTAATTGGTCTTGCACTTGCTCATCTGAAGCAATCCTATTCTATGATAATAGAATGTTACTAATCACAATATCCCATTATATATTATTCAGATTGCCTGCAAATATTTTAAGATCTTATAATGAAGAGAATTTGTCACTGCCTCAGACATACTCATACACACAGCGAAGCCCAGTAGAGCTGACCATATTTTTCCTATTCCCGGTGTTTACAGCATTCAGGAATTTCTAAACCCCCTTCCTATCTCCTTCTGATCATCTGCAGGCCCAGCATGTATTTGACTTCTTTTATAGCTGCTCATAAATGAATTCTTTCACTATCTTAATCATTTTGGTTGGTCTCTCGGTTTCCTTCAAATTATGAAGCTCTTTCCAGCATTAAAGTGCTGGCATTGAATGCATTATTCACATGAAGTTAGAGGGTATAGAGAGATGTCTATTACGTATGATGTGATGCCTCTGGGTGTTGCTCTCTCAGGACTGAAATTTCTTTTTGTTGCTTTTAACTGGCTCTAATGTCAGATTCTCTCCTTTTGTCTGCTAATCCTTAGAAGTTTTTTTTAGCTCATCTCTTTTCCTACCATTCTTTTTATGTTTCTTGGGCTTACCTGATCCCTCCCTAAACTACTTACTACAAACTTGCAGAAATAGTTTTTCAATGGTAATTAAGCTCTCAAAATGTTGCTATGGTTCACTGACTTGGATTCTTTAGAGGTATTTTTACTTTTTAATTTTTAATTCTAGTTTTAGTTTTTGAGACAAGGTCTTGCTATATAGGTCAGACTTGCCTGGAACTCATCATCCTCTCACCTCAGCCTTTAAAACATTGGTTTTATATGAATATATGCCATCCTGGCAAGTCTCCTTTCAAGAATATTTAATTATGCCAGCAAGATGCCTTAGCAGGTTTAGCTATCTACTGATCCAGCTCCATGGCCTCACTTTGATACTACTTCAACTCCACAGTAGGAGGAGAGAATGAACTTCCAAAATTTTCCTCTGACTTCTACCTCTACAGTGCTGTTTAGTACACATAAACTCTCATTGTCAAACACACACACACACACACACACACACACACACACACACACACACACAGAGAGAGAGAGAGAGGACAGAGGGTGGGGAGGGAAGGAGAGAGGGAGAGATGGAGGGATGGAGGGAGATTCCAATAATAATGGTAACAATAATAGTTTTGAAACAAGCAGTTTAAAAAACAATATTAAGAAATGCAAAACATAACAGACATTCATAGCCTAGTGCTATGTGAAAACCACTGTAGTAGGTGCTATGAAAGGTAAATCAGAAGATGCAAGATGACTAAGATGCTTATTGATTCTTCCCAGAAGTTCCCTGATTACACTTCTGGGGACTCTGTTCACAATAGACCAGGAACAGTAAATCGTAGCCCAAGGGTCAGATCTGACTCACTGAATGTCTGCCAAATATTTA